CTCCTCCTCTGTACGTTTCATTCAAGTCAATCTTGTTGCACGTTTTTTGGTTCAATTAAGCTTGTCCAATGTTAAGAGACGCCTGAAGCTTCGACGAAATATGGAAAAGTGTCGTACGAAACCGTTACAAGTCTTTACGTTTGCCGATACGTTGCAAAAGCGAAAACTATCGTTATCGAAATGCGGCGGCAAATGTGTGCGCCGTCAATGCGATGATGTCATGTTTCAGTTCCCTGCTCATCAATTGCATATCTACTACATAGTTTAAGTGAATGGGGCTAGAGCGGTTCGCTATCATCTTTATTACGATCGTTAATGTTATGTATGTATATTAAAAGTGGCGCATTAATGCTTGTAGATCGTTCCCCCAATGAATAATGCAGATGCCTGACCTATATTTCCTAACAGCTAGTTACCCTCCTTCAAAGTTATTTTAGGAATCGTCGTTATTTCGTTTCAAAAACATCATACCGATACTAAAGAATAGAAATTAGATAAAAGGAAACACAAGTTATTTCTAAGCAAATCGAACGATTATGTCGCTAATAGTTTAATAACTTGTATAGTCGTTGCATAAGATATCGGTGTTAGGAATTCTCAGTCGAACGTTTATCGCGGTCGACGACGTTTTCAAACGAGTGAAAGTGAAATTCTTCCTTCGGTATACAGTTCCAATCAGCGTTCCAATCCTTCGCACTTTCGCGCCCGTTCACCCTTTTGTACATTCCAGCCTCTTGTATATTATAAACATTCGTATCTAAATTTCATGCCAGCAAGGTTCGCGCGCTATTTTTACTTCTTCGCAACGCTAAACGTTTTGTCGTGACTGATTTATATCTAGTAGGTTAAATTCGTAGATTGTTCATAGTTGACGAGTACAAGGGAAGGAATATGACTAGTCGCATGAACAGAGAGTATCAAATGGAATAAAATACGACGTCGAGTGTAGCTCGAATCAAGGCCGTGCCTTGCTTTAAATATAACTTTCTTTAGGTGAACGATTTTCATTTGCGACAAACAACAGCTAGAAAGAAATCTAACGTAGGATGATCGAAGTCGGTTGGTTTCTAGGATATAAGAAAGTTTGATCGATGCTCGGTATTTCTAATGACTCTAACCGAGTATCGTACCGGACAGTCGTAAAGAAAGACGAGATGCGAAGGAAAGCGGTTAAGTATCCGCACGGGTGGACGCTAGTCGACGAAAATATCGAGAATGTAGAACGCGTGAAGCTCGATCCCAAGACGCAACGAGAACTGGGTTGTTTGGTCGGCGAACACGTGTTCCTGGAATATCCGTGGGCGTATGTGCATCGAGACGTTGTCGCAAAGTTCGCTAAATCACCTGATTCCTCACTGGCGGTTTTTCGAGAAGATATCGAAATTTACGAGGCTGATACGTTCCTCGTAGGCTATTCGTCTACTAAGTTAAAGTCCGACGACTTTGTGATTTGTCTCACCGAAGAAGCGAGGGACCTTGTACGACAGCGAAATAGAAATATTACTCGTATTATCTGGAAGAAAATTATCGGCAATGTAATAAAGACCGTTAAACCGTGGAACTCTTTAGGCAGTGACTTGGAAGTAGAGGAAACGTTCGTCAGGAATACGAGAGAATATTTTGAGATAGAAATCGTATTACCTGGAAGATTTCTGAATTCTTGTCGAACGTTATGCGACAGAAGCGCGAATGATTTTAGAGACAGTTACGTCCAGCTGATAAACGAAGACGAGAAATTCGAAAACGTGGATAGAAAATGCATTTGCAGGGCTGTTCAGACGTGTATGCAACCTCGTGAAACATTCGTTCAAACGTGCCCCGAGTATCCTAAAAATGCATGGACTCAATACGCGTGCGAAGACATTTTGAGCGAGTTTATGGTTGCGAATAACGAAGAAGAGGGACAGTTAAAAGGAGGATCGGAAAAAGATGACGACGATCGGCCACACAGAGAGGACGCTATTCGATGCAAGGAAATCGAGAAACCCAGAGAAAAAACAGCTTTAGAACTATTTTTAGAAGCTCGTTCGCAACAAATGATCGATGCAATTAAATATAACGCAGCTGTTAATTTGCACGTGGATGATATTGAAAATTTATCTAACCAAGAAGAAGATATCTCAACAGTCTTCAATACGCCTGCATTTCGTGAACAGGTGTCGTTCACTGATTTCAATTTTACGGCCAATAGAATTGTTTCTGACGTTTCGTTGCATCCAAAATTGACGGAATACTTAGCGATTTCGTACATCAGCAAATCGAAATTTTCTAGACAAACTCGAAAGAACGAATATAGAAGCAAGACCGAATTTCAAACCAGAGTGCTCCTTTGGAAATTAAACGATCCACTTCGTCCACAGCTTGCACTTCAGGACCACAGAGAAATTTACGCCATTTCGTTTTGCCCTCACGACGATAATCTTTTAATAGGAGGTCGTTCCACTGGTCAGATAGTTATCTGGAACATCAAAGAGTTTCTAAATAATCTCGACGACGGAAATATAAAACTTGGAACGTCGACACGAAACAGTTTACCAGTGTTTCGTCCTATCGTTGTTTCGGACAGACATCGTTCTCATCAGCTACCTGTTCGAAACATTCGATGGATACCTGCCAAACATAATACAGAGCCAGATGGAAGCTTGACAAAGTCATTCGTTTCTTCTGACGTGCAACTTCTAACCGCTTCCGAGGACGGCACGATAGCAGTTTGGAATATTTCTCTTCTTTCGAGACACACTGTTCGCGATGATGGAGATTCTGACGAACCTCTTCGGCCGAGTTTTCGTATAAAAATTCAAACTGTCGATGAAGAGCTGCAGTTTACTTCTTTATGTTTCTGCTTTCCACCTATCGTCGCTGAACACGGTGAAAATTCGCCGGATACGAATAAAAATGACGTAAGAGAAAAGCATTGCATAACGAAGTATCTATGGATAGGTTGCGTAGAAGGGTTGATAACGTGCGCGTGGGAAAAGCAAATATTCGAAGAAAATTCAACAGACATTATCGAATGCGATATGTTAAACTGTTCTTACGCACACAATGGCCCTGTTGTAGAGATCACGCGGTCGACACATCTTCAAAACGTGCTCCTCACAGTCGGTGGACGAGTGTTTGCCATTTGGAACGACGATCATATCGATTCTCCTTTATTTTGGAGAGCAACTTCCTCTCGTTATACGAGTTGTTGTTGGGCTAACGAACCTGGGGTATTTTTGGTCGGCAGCCAAGACGGTAACCTTGAGATGTGGGATATAAAGAACGAATCGACCCAGCCGATATTTACCCAAATCGTTTCATTGGAACCAATTACTTATCTAACCTTGTTAGAATCTCCTGTATTATATAACGATGGTTTCAAGAAGATAGGCGTAGGCGATGGTGGTGGATTGTTTCGTGTGTTCACAGAAGCCGAGGTTTCTCGTAACGAAAGCACGATAGAAAGAATGGACTGGTTCGAAGAATATACTTGGAAAGAGACACGAAGGAAAAAGCTTTTCGCCAGTTGGCAGAACGATTTTGTCAATAACGACCCTGCTATAGTGGCGAAAAAATTAGCAAGGCACGAGGAGCAAGTTAAAAGAGAGGCGAAAGAGGCGAGAGAAAGACTTAGGAGAGAACAAGAGACAAGGTTGAGGTTGAAAGCGGAGAAAAGGGCGCGAAACGTTCCGATTCCAAAAGACGTCGCGTGGAAATCGAAGGAGTTCGACAGAATGAAAGAAGTTCTTTTGAGTAAAAGGAATTTAGTTCCCTCGGAACTCGAAGCAAAGAGGATTCCTTTCGTCGCTTTACAAGCTGAAAGAGACGCAAAATTGCGGAAGGTTCAAGATAAGATCGTTCATAGGGATGTTTATTTGTTCAATACATTATCCGCAGAATTTCCTGAACTTCTCGAAACGAAGGCAGAAACCCCGGAATTCGAGGAATTTATTCCGATAGAACTGGGAAAATCGCTTAATTATTACGTTCAGAAATTTACTGAAATACGACGTAAAGCTAACGAAGCTTTCGACCAATCGCGGGGAGACGCAATCGCGAAGAGAGACGTCAACGGGAGTCGTAAATTCCCGTTACGATTATAATAATCGACACCACGAGTTCATCGATCCCTTAATTTCCGTTAAGATAATAGGGATGATTCAGTTAGCATAACACTGTGATTCACAGGGTTATAAGGTTTTTATTTTTTCCACTTAAGTTACACCACTTAAGTTGCTTATGATATATATCGTCGACAATGATTTAGATGTATAGAGATGTATAGAGACGCGATACAATGGCACACTATTCGTTCATGATAGAGCAAGGCTAGTAGAGTTTTTGTTATAGTTGACGTAGCAATAAGAGAAAAGACAGAGCTGAACTAACCCGTTACTGACATGTCGACTATTCTAACGTTGTAGAATATGTAAAGTTGAAAGCCGTAAAACCGTAGTAGACAATACTCTTCAGAAAGCGATTTGGAAAAAAGATATTTGTTCGGTCTGAAGGACCTTAGCTAGCAAATTACAGGGATATATGATGGGTCCTTAAGACTATTGAGGGTCTAGATAGAGGGTCGTAACAAAGCGTTAGAAAACAATTTCTTAAGGTGTTCGTGTTTTTCTTCTATTCATATGCGATAACAAGTAAAAGCAGTGGTAAATTGATCTTTAATAGATTAACTTATCTACAGTACTTTTAAAGTGTAAACGTGGAAGTTCCGTGGATCATTAAAAAAATTCGTATAATGTCCTCGAACATTCCAAATTTAATATTACATGCCATAACATGTTTGACAAATAATTTATGTAAATAGACGATTTACAACTAATACGAACCAGCTAAATTGGATCCTCCATAACAAATAATACACACGATTAGAACGTAATAAGTGGAGTGTCGTGTTCGAATTAGTTTAGACATGAAAATCCCATATGTGCATAATGAGAATTGACATATCGATTCGATGATGAAAATCATTAAATTAAAGGAATGCGTGTTTCAATTGGTTTCAGGGTTTTGGTATAATATGTATGTCATGTGCCTCACCGGCATTGGTAAGCGGGTCCCATTGGTTTCTATTCGTCGCCGTAACAGCTTTCATCGCTACTCTTTTATGGAGTTTCACCTATCTGCTGTCGATTCGAGAAGCGCTTAAGCTACCTATCAATTGGATCGCAACGGTGAGTAAACAGCTGAACAGCAATTTTCATTTTGTAAACGCAACTTCACCTCGTACTTACAAAGCGTCCGTTCAATTGCAGGAACTGTTGAACACAGGAATATTCACCTTCCTTTATCTGATTGCCTTCGTGGTTCAGTTATCTGTCTGGACCTCGTTAATAGGATCAGCGGTCTCAAGGAATATTGCCGCAGGGGTAAGAATAAACGTGTCTCGTCACTAGACTGCAGATATTTATGCAAATTTATGTTTCTATGAATATAATTAGACAGGTGGAATCTATACTACCGCTCATAAGTATCCTCGTCGCTGGTCAAATCGTAGTAACATGAATTTTACTATAGCGTAGTTGCATTTCTAAATTTCCCAAGAATGCATAAAAATCCGCAATCTATTTATTCCATTCTACTCAACTACGCATTAAATGAAAAAACAAGATACAGTTGTTCAAGAAAATGTTCAAACATTTATAGAAATCTTTTATGAATTAAAAATTCAAAATGCTTTGTATAACACGCACGATATGTGGATAAAAGGTTTCTGCGGTAGGTGTCCAGATACTTTTGTGAGCAACTGTACGTGTTTGACGACCCAATCGAAGTCGTAAAACGCCCCGGTTTTTACCTACTAACGAGAATAACGATTAAAATTCTTCTACTATTTGCGTAGGTCTTTGGAATCTTTAATACATTGGCGTACGCTGCCGGGTCCTATTTCCTCTACGTCGAGTTCAGAAGCAGTAACACACAGTGAAGAGAAGCAAAGGTACTCGAAGAGACGCTAGGTACCTGAAGAGCACCTACGACACAGCTACTACACTCGGGTTTTCGCGATCGTACGTTCTACGAACAAGAGCAAGATCGTGGACAGACGAATGAGTCGAAGCTAGTCCAACGAGGCCCCCGCCTGATCATGTGTTGTAGCTTAACGAGAGACTCTATAATATACGTGCCTTAAAGATTGATCAAACTGGACGATCATGCTATTCGATCGATAGGTTTGCGACTACGGTTTTCTGGGATCATGCTCGCTACTCGAACGATTATAAAACAAAGATGAATACAGTTTACCGCTGGTTTAGGACGGGTTAATGCGCCGAAGAGATATCAACGATTCTTAAAGTTTTTGTTTTGACGAGATTCGTGTATCCTCTTCGTTACGCGGTTCATTTTTTCACTGTACAAACATAATATACAATAATAAGGAAAATGTTACGGTTAAAATAAAATGTAAAGGTTACCTTTTAAAAGCAAATTGTATTTCAGAATCGATAAAATCCATATTGGATGTCGATCTCTTCTTTTCTCTTTTTGATAATATGCAATGGATTATATAGGTTGTTCATCGATGTACCTTACGCGGCACTTCCCGTCCAATTTAATTTTCTAATTGTACCTTTCTCGCACTACCGCGACTTTTTATTTATATGTATACACGCATTAGTTATATACGTTTATATATATATATATATAAATATCTGTTTTATATAGTTAATATATTTGCACAAATTGAACGCTATACATCGTTTTTTCTTCCTTTTGTTTTTTTTTTATTTTCTGACAATCACATAAAGGACACTTACGTAATTCACTTTCATTGATGTAAAAGCTGTTCGCTACTACGTGAATGAATGTGTTCCTGGATACATTGTACTTTTTCTGTACACATTACCATTGAAATATATGTTCGTTTTTGACATTGTCTTTGAATTCCACTTGTACAGCGTTCCGATAATGCTTCCTCTTATCTCAGTGAGTCAGATGAGGAAAATAAAGAAATTTTGGAATGTGTATAACTTTTCGTTTTCAATCTACAAGAATAACATCAATGGAAAGCTAAGCATCAGTGGAATGATTTATCAAAAGGCAGTTAAGAAGTTATATACAAGCCTTGCAAAAAGATCGCCGACTGTCTTCCTCTATTTAATGAATGATTCAAAATCAACTAACGTCAACCAATTATCAGAGTGGAAATTAAAGGATTGTTATCGAGTCCGATTAAATGCTGTCATATGCTGTTTTTACATTCGTTGCTTTACTTTTTGTCTTACTTTTTATCACATTATCGACTTTGGTTATTATCCAAGCTAAATAGCAATGAAAAATATTTTGCTTTGACTGCTAATACTAACTCACAACGCGCTATAAATAAATGTAAATCAGAACACGGTGCGTGAATATTGTGCTCGTGGAATTACGTCTGACTATAAAGTCAGAAAATTAATTGAGAATTTTATCGAGAACCTTGAAATTTTATTCACCGGAAGCTCCTAAAAAATTGCAAGGATACGAAACCATAACTACGTTACCAAAACTAAGTTTTAATGCTTAAACTTGAAGTTTGTACTTCATCGACATATTGATATTTTGCTATGTGATATTACACATAACTTTGACTACGCATCTTATTATGTACACAACTACGTTACTTTCTTTCAATTTAATGTTGGTATACGTGTATACTACACGTTCATTCTCTAGTTAGGAAGACGGATCCAAGTATGATATCATCCATGACGTCACTCGTGCTATGGTTGGAAACGTAAGTCCGCACCTCAGTCATTCGCAGGCGATCAAGGCGCGACCACCTACCTTATTAAGGTCAGTGTGAGATTTGTATACATTCCGCCTATTATTGCCGGTTGTGAGACGTGAATCAGTGTAGTACAATTTTAACGATATACATTTCAATAATATAATTCCTGGGAAAAAGTACTTTACACAGCTATTATACAAAATATACGAAACAGTATTTATATAAGATCATTATGCGAAACTTATTATTATTTATTTTCGCTCGAGTGTTTTGATAATGAGAAGAAAGACAGAAATTTCAAAGAATATCTCAGATTAAATAAACAACACTTGTTACGTGCTGTCAAGCTGTCTGAATTCAAATTGTTCCTATTCATACGTTTGATTAATTTGAACGAGCCTTTATATTAGATGTTATTCTTATCTTCAATTTTTTAACCTCTTCCCATCGGAAGACGAAATATCTCGCAACGCAATGTCGTTCGTGATACACTTTGGACGAGATATGTTGCAACGTAAAATCATTCGTGTGATGTTTTGTACGAGATACCTGTTTCGCGATGCATTATTGGATACTGTATGATGAGGTACATATTTAATAATTTCGTTTTCCTATGCGAAGGGATTAAACGATATCTTTGGCACATACAATAGCATTTTATAAAATATGTCACTACGTTTGGTCAGATCAAAACATTATAGAATTCGATTTTTCCTTATCGTGTATTATTATTAAATATACTATCAGGAATAGATAGGAACAAGATAAATATATTATGAATAAGTTGACAGGAGAACCTAACAATTATCCGGTATCATTATCGTACAATTCTTTCTTTGACACACATTCACTTAAAAATAACTGATGACTAAATTTCACACATGCTCGCCTGTAGCCATGCTAATTCGGGTGTGTTCGTGATTCGAATTCACGAAAACAGTATCGGTATATTTTGAATGGACCATGAGGTTTATTATTAAATTATGAAAATTAATTCGTGTACATAAATTCGACACGACATATTTATTTAATAAATATTTATTTTAGGTACTTTTCTGCATAAAGCTTTAATTTATTATTCTAAGTATATGACGTTTATTTTACTTATCTTTCTTCTTTATTTATTTAAACTCGCACGATTCTTGGCCTATGAGTATTTCTCTGTTTTTTAAGTACAAGGTATTAACGGTTGCGTTCAGTATGATAAGAGGTATAATGTTTTTTTATATGACTTTATCTTCTATATCCTTAAAAATACCGAAAGGAGAAGTGATTCTGACAGTTGGACGCGGTATCGATCAGTAGCAAACATTAAGGGTGCGCCGGGATGAAAGAAACGATAACGAAAGTGAATGCATCTACAATCCCTTTCTCGTACATTACTATGAATTACTGTCGCTCTCGCGTTCTATTTTTATTTATTATTTGGCAAACATTTAAACATAACGTAAGATATATAAAAATGAGATCAATATACAAGAGTATGCATCTTCTTGGGTCGAATGAATTTCGCGAAAGAAGAAAGTCTGTCGACGAAATAAGGTTACGCCCTAAAAATCTCTGGCCTTGGCCTTCTTCTTACCCACAGACTTTCGCTTAAATATGTATTCCGAAGTTGTTTTCTTACGAAACGCCCACAGCTGTAATGTGCTGCTTTAAAATTTCAGAGTCGATAAAGAAGGAGATGACAATGTCGCATTCGGTAACCATTAGAACTCAAACGGTAACGAGCGGTTCCACATCAGTTAACATCAATACCGGTTATTTAAAATCCTTTGGCGGTCTATTTAAATTGTTTGAAGTGGTAAGTATCTATTAGAAATGTTTTAACGTAAACTGGTACATATAAATATTCAAACGTGTCGTAACTAGCTTCCCTTGTTAATTAACATATAAGATAAATACCTACGCGATATTTCTGTACAATATGCGTAGTTTTATATAATATTTGTACAATATTTTTACGTATAATTAAAACTCAACCCGACGATAAATGTAATCATGAAAATCAAACTGTAGGAGCACTAACTCTGTAAAAATATGCACATATTCATCTGGATGAAAATTATTATGCTCGGAATTACGAATTGCGGAAATACTATAGTACATACAGAAACTAAATTTTGATATATTCCGACAATGAATGACATTTTAATAAAAAAAAATTCACATTTTTCAACAGAACTCGTGCCTAGCAAATATCCACAACATTTTTAATCTCTTCTCTCTAATTAGGTTCCCATATCGTTATCAAAGTTCCGCTTTCATCCAAAAAAATGAAATCCAAAATTCTTTCGTTTTAGGCACTTGGAGTTGTGTGCGTGGCAATAGTAGCGAACAACTATGACAGCTACGTATACACCGCAGAACTATTCTTCCTCCTAATAACAACGACATTTTTGATCGGTACCTTTATTTTGCTTCTAAGTTGCTTAGCTTCCCTTACAACGTCCACTATCATTGCGAAGACTGTTTATGTAAGTTTCACACTGTGTACTTACGGTGAGGCCCAGTGCAGCCGAACAATGTGGTACGATTGCGATTTCGCAGCAGTCGAAACTCTCTAACGATACAACCACAAAATGTTTCCGACAAATGATCAAATATTGTACACTAAAAGTTAAAAGTATAGTAGAACTCCATAGGAGTTTCCCAATTTCGTAACTAGTTTTCGTTTTCGTTCGTCTGCATCGGGCTTAATTAAACGAAATAATCGATGAATCATATCAAACTAAACAATTAGACTTATGCCTCGCGTCTTTTTTTAGGAACTTCTTTATCACTCTATAGCATTTGGATTATATTTAGCTGCGTCTTTAACATACGTGGTGCATGTGAGTAATAACGTGAAAGGCCGAAGAGGATACGAAGTATTAATGGCAGCGGCAGTAAGTGAAAAGAATAAAGCCACTCTTTTTACAACCATCTGAAATTTTACTATATATTACTGTTGGCTATGTTTTCTTTTAGATTTGTGGTCTTGTAAATTCAGCGCTATATTTTCTCAGTACGATCGTTGCTCTTCGCACATACAGAATACATTAACAATGCCTTGTAACAAGAATTCGGACAAGTTTTGAAATCATATATTCAGCTATCGTGTTTCATATATTTCGCAAACCATCGAGTCGGGCATTATATAACGCGACACGCCTTTTTATACACTGTTTTCAAATTTAATAAAAGATATTTTTTTGTATGGTACTTTATACATTTTAAATATATTTATACAGTACAACCGCGATATCTCTCCTGGCTATTGAAACGTGTTATAATATCGTTCTGAAAATTGCTGCAATTTCGGAATTGTTTATTTGTAAAACAGCAGGAACCGTTTTTATATACTGTAAATGCATATATTTGTATAATCAAGTACATACGCATATTTATTATAATTATATATAATTACATAGACATATATTTATTGTACTAATGTGTAACGTAATAAAAAAAAAACAAAAAAAAAACTACGGAATCCGCTAAGCTATGGGAGTAGGTTAACGAAACCTAAGTCCAATTACCTACTCGTTTGTAGGAGAAAGCCTAGCTTTTTTCCTTTATGCACATCGGCGTGTGACTGACGTAATTATGAGTCAGAAAATTCGAGCGTAACGTCGACGAAAATGAAACTTTCGCACGGCCATTGACAGGACGTGGGTCTGCACGTAGCAACGTATGCGAGAGGAGTTTTGATAAAGCTGTACAAAGACAGAGAACAGGATACTGCGGTGCTATGCATAATGTAAGCAATTACATTGTGTATGCGAACAATCGAGGAATCTATGGATCTCATTTACATTCGTCGATCCAAAAACGATCAAACCACATCCACCATGATTTCTGTTACAAGCAAAGCCACAATTCTACGCCGTGAAACAAAACGAAAATCAAGAAATAAGAAAATTGCACAGATTTTTTAGGAAATCGAGCTTGAAAATCTCGTCGAGTACAATATCCTGGAACGAACGTAATTGGAACTTTCTTCTCACAGATGCGAACATTTCTATGCGGTTTTATAGTCACGGGACGCACTGTAGAATCCTCGTTGCAGTTTGATTGTTTTTCAATCTACCAATATAAATCTGATCTATAGATCCTTCGTCTATATATCGCGCAAGTTTGTTATTCCTGCCTTTCGTCTTATTTTCCGACTTCTACGAATCACTTTATCGTATATATCAGCACCGAATGCAAATTTTGTCTCGCTTCTCTGGTCTCTTTAAAAAACATTCCTAATCGCATGTTTCTTTTTTACGTTTCCCGTGTCGACGGTACAGCTGGTCGGCCACATATTTCGGCGCGGCACGTGCCAGAAATAGACATCGCTATCCCTTGTGTCGAATACGACGTAGGGGGTGCAACGACATTTAAAACGTTCTGCATCAACCGGAGAAAACACCCTCAGTTAGTTGCAAACAGCTCGTCGACGCGGCTCGCGTTCTTTCCTGGCTTGTTACAATAGTTGGCTGTTAGGTACGCGCACAGTATATCTGTCGATCAAACGACAATCTCAGTTTCGAGCGTGTAACGGATCATCGAGTTGATTTATCCTCTTCGTTGTAATGATGCGAATTAATCGCCGTTTAACCAATTAGGGTGATTGAACGAAGAGTCTGGGTGAACACGAGACGGTTTAACGAACCTATAAATCGCAGCCTCCTACGTGCATTTTGCAACAACTACGACCCAGGCAGGTGGAAACGAGGATCGTGAAACCAGCGTTAATCTGTAGATAGATCGACGACGAGACGATATTATGGGTAGAAACGGAACTGGTCCGGTGATCCGGATGTCTTCTACGGGCACGCACGCTGCTGGGGGCGTAGAATGTTGTTACTGCAGATGTTGCACGTGTATACACGTGGAATTTCTAAAAACTCCACCCGGTCTTCTAAAACTGGGCGAGACGGTGAGTTCGATGATTCGAGAAACGATTTTTTATTTATATATACGAATATTTCATATGCAGAGCTTCTCTACAAATATATAGGTCGTTCAAAAAGTTTCTTTCGTTTTATAAGGAAATAACGGATGCACGACATTTTTCGCTTTATATTATTTTATCGAATTACGTATGGTCCATTTTGTTCTATCAAGATAATGATCACAATGTGTGACAGATTATGTCTGTATAAAGATACATCGTCGTAAAAGACGTGTCTGTAAAAGAAAAACACTTTTCCTAAGACAACCTAATACTTTGCATGCTGGAGCATGTATCACGAATATGTTCGCGAACAGTGACAAATAGACGACGAACTATTCGTGAACCATCAGAATATAATGTACCTCAAAATATGATACAATGAGAAAGTGAATAAACTTGTGTATGAACTTATTACACGATCTAATAGGTATAACAATAGCAACCAACGAGATACATCTGTTTTTCAGATCGTCAGCGGACTGATACAAAGCTTGTTAATTAATTACGGTTTAAAATACAGTACGACGATCGGTTCAGCTTTCGAAGGGTCTTTAACTACGTCTTCCGCCTGTTTCTTAACATCAGCGGTATTACTCGCCTGCTACATCGTGTCCGAAAAATCCTACAGACTGATTCGATCATCTATATTTGTACGTTAAACTTGTACAGCGTGATTTATCGTTCGTAAAGAATCATCCTCATATGTTGCGCTTATTCGCGCGTATAATACACAGTATCTTAAACGCTATTAAACGTTCAAACATCCGTAGTCTACAACTAACATAACCAGAAATGACATTTTATTCTCTTCTAGGAATTGATGTTCAATGCATTAGCATCCTTCCTGTATTTAAGCTCGGCTTCCTATTTGGCATTTTCCACGAAGCTATTTCTCCTTCCAGAATATTACATAAGGCCAGGGTTCGACGTTTATCCTGCAATGTCAGCTGCTTACGTACGTATTCTATCCTTAACAACGATATCTGTTTGTGCGTTCGTTCTTGAAATCGTTCTGGTACTTTCGTAGATTATGAGTGGTTTTGTCGGAATACTACACGGGGCAGACGCATATTTCTCTTACAGGCATTATAAGAGCGGAAGATGAATCGGAGGGGGAGTGAAATGTATAAAAACATCGCACGATTCGTGACCGAATCAAGATCCAAATACAGCGTACAATGTACAAGGTGAGTAATACGTATAATTCGAACCAAATTCTCTTTAACATATCCGCTGCTACTGACGCATACGTTGCGTCCATTCAATTATTTAAGTAACGCAACCGTTGCATTTAATCTTCGTGTTCGAATCTGTCGCGTCTAGATTCGAATCTAGTTGAAAGTATGCTGCTCCTTTTTCTCAAAATAGATGCTTCGAATCTAATCTACGAGCGAAGCAATTATACTGGAAATAAAAAAATTCTTCGGGAATGGTTCTTTAAACAGTCGTATCGTAGCAGCAGCGGATTTACTTAATCGTATTGAAACTGTTCTTCAAAAATTAATTTGTGTTTTTTCATTTTACGCGCATCGTTCGTTTCAACGTCAAAACGAAACTATATAGTTACAGAAACTATATCCACGTCAACGATCAATCGAGAAAGACCTTTATTTAAACACTTATGTTAAATTAATACGCGTAGCATTCCAAAATTATGTAACGAACGAAAATGTTATAAAAATATAGAAAACGAGCGTCGTATTTATTTAGATCCTCCTTATTCTTAATCCTTTGCAAGTAACGTCAAAGATAAAGACTATCAATTTCAATAATGCGAGATAATTCCTGAAGCATGAGTCAAATTACAGGAATCTTCTTCCGTGCATACGTCACTTTTTTCATTCACGCGCGTTACTATAGAAAGCCTAGTTTTCGGTGAAAATTTTCAAACGAAATTCCAATTTCGATTTTTACCAACCTGGAAACATTCGCTGCGTCGATATCCTTTTTCGCATTACCTGAACACAAAAAGCAACCAAATATCAATGCTCAATGTCTGGGTATTTCCATGATGTTTTGTGCACTATTTTACGCTACATAGGAAAGTTCACATCAGATGTTGAATATCTGATACGGAGTGTGCGAGTTGTATAGAAAATATACATACAAACTGTAGAATCTAACACGCAATTTTTTGGTTGTTAGATATCGAAATGGATTATTGGTTTGTGAGATACATAGAATGACATAGAATGTGAGATGCGATGGAACGCGTGCATGTGGAACACGAGGTTTTATCTTGTATCTTCCATTCGCTCTTCACGCAAAGAATCGTCTCTTTTTCGGCTGTATTACGATTTCCGGAACAGCCTGTATAAACGCGCAAAACTATCCAGAGCGCATATAATACACAAAAATATATAAAATCCGGAAAGCAAACTCTTTATTATAATATTTAGAGGGCGAGACGAATCTCTACGTAATTTTCATTTCTTAAGTTGCGTTCATGAAAATGTGAATTTGTTTACTCGTTAAAGTAGAATGTCGAGTACGTGTCATACCGAAGTCGTACAAGATAAAGTTTAGCGTTTTGCTACAAAAAAATGAACACAACGACGTTGAACATCGTCAAATACGTTCCTTTAATCCTGTTATAAATCTAATCTAAGGCGATGACGAAGATGAATGACGACGAATAATTTCGAAGAGGACTGTACAAAGCCGTGCAGGTCGTTTCAATAATTTTCGTACCAGGTTATCCGTGGATCACAGGCGCACAGTGAATGGAAGTTATACGTTGCGTCGGTCCTCACGGACTCTCCGATCGAGACCGTGAGGTTTCTCTTTCCTCTCTGCCCCACCTTTCTCTTCTCGCGATCCACGAAGCGTAGCTAGAGTCTCTCTTTCTTCTTCTTCTTCCCCCATTACTCTCTATCTTCCTTTCGTGTTCGCGGTTTCCGCTGCTCTCGTAGAGGCCTCACCAAGCGTATTGCTTGACTCAAGGCATGTGGCCGACAGTTTACTTCGTGATTTCGAACCGGTCGATTCGTAGACGATTCCGAACGCTTCTTCGTGAACAAGGTGAAATAACAGAAGAACAGTTCGATCATTATGGGGGTACGCGTTAGGAGTATCAATGACAGTCTCAGGCTCGCGTCCACGACAAAAGGTAATTCATTTGAAATAATAAGGATTCTAGCCATGGGTTATATTGTACGTGTCCTGTGCATTTTTCCACATTTACGTGCCCCACGAGCTTGATAAATCGAAGTATTATTAGGAATCGATAGGAATCAATAGGAATTGGTTGACGAACAGTGCCCGTTACGTGTATCGGTATATTAGGGAAAGATGGAGCAAGTACGTACAATAGAGCAAAGAATAAATAATTAGACTGTGAATATTTATGCACCTTTCGCAGGTATAGAAATTTATATAATACACAGTGATGTGCAAAAGTTTTCAGGTAAATGGATCTTTCACTTTATATTCTGATATATGGGGAGGAATATGTATTTTCATTTTAAATTTAAATTTAAATTTCAAATTTAAATTAAATCTCTTATTTAATTTAAATTTAAATTTAAATTTAATTAACGTTATACTGCTATATAACAGATGTTTGTTCCTTTTATTATTTTCTTCTACTTATCGCGGCTTTATGCCCAAAGCCAGTTAAAATTCTCTTAGATCCCTTCTGGAACAAAAACTGAACAGTTTGAAATACAAAGTACATATACATATATGTATGTGTGTGTGTGTGTGTGTATACAAATATTCAAAGTACTCGTTACAGTGTTTAGGAGATGAAATGAATTTTTGTTTAGACTCCTCTTTCTTATTTATATTAAGAAAAATGTGAATTTTCGCGTAAATATCTAATCTAATTGTAATACGACACGGTGTCAATCGTATGACACGTTCAAAATGAAAAATTCTAGTCAACAGAAAGCTCGGCTTTCTTCCGTACTTTCTAAAAAATTACTGCAAACCCTACGCGAATTCATACGCGAAACTCAACAGGTGGCACGTCGCTTCTCTTTCGTTCGCATTCTTCCACGTAAGGCAAGGGACCGTGCAAAGGGCAAAATGTAGTTAAGCGTATGCGTGTAAAAAATTGTTCCGGTTTTTCTAGTCGGATACCTCGTTCCTCTCACAGTTGCAAAGCAAAAACTAGTTAAACCACGAGATCGAACTGTATCGGTATCGATGCTTTCTCTGGGTACGAGCGTAGCTATTTCCTTTAGATCGACGTCGATGTACGGTGATTCGCATTAATATTCCGTTGTTTCGTGGAATTTGAGGATTATTCGAGCATCTCTCAGAAGCTAAACCGACCAACTTGGCTTCCTGTTAATTTCCTAAATTTAATTCAATAATTTAATCGCCTAAGTATAAGCAATGTTCGTTTATTCGATTAAAATTCGATTGTCAAGAAACAAATATGCAGTCCATAAGTTTGTTACATCGCGACAGGATGATTGCGATAAACAATACGAACAACAATTAACAGTAAATTCCAATGTAAAAAGGAAATGTAACAAGAAAGCTGCGTTCGCAAGATATATGTTAGCACTAATTAAAAAATATTTGTTCCAATGAAGAAACGATTTGTTAACTGTCATAAACGAAAGTATATGACGTAATATGATTGCGAATTATCGTAAATCAACGTCCAGCTCCATTTTCTAAAATAATCAATCTCTTGCGAGAGAATATTCCGATTACATCTATATAGGTTGACATAATAAAAAGAAAAGTTAATCAGGTTAGTAGCAGAAAAGCATGCAAATATTTGCTTGTAACAAACTCACGGATATACTACATGTACGTGTATGAGCATTAAAGATCGTGGTATTGGAGGAAGGATTGGTGCTGGTACGGACAGGTGCCGATAAAATCTCAGACTTTGTTAACTTGTCGTGATCGCACAAATTTAATAACAGTTATACGATCGGGCTATTCGTTTCGATGAAAATTATTATCATGATCGTTGTAGTACTTAATGGTAATGCGCAATAAGCGAAAGCATTTCTGTGAAGTGTACAAAGTAAATAGAAATATACCAATTACTTTCTTCTTTGAAGAGTAGGCTCGTAAAATCAAACGAAGACGTAAACCATTCCGTTTATTAATGATACGTAACTTTTTACGTATTTGCTTATCTAGAACGTTGATATCAATACGTTTGACATATACGCCTCTTGTATTTAATCGCGGGGCGTTGAACACCATTTCCATTGGGAAAATACGTCACATATTACTATCGTAATCTCTTTAATTTCATTTATTATAATCGATACGCGATGAATTTCATTGTAAAATAATCTGAATATCGATTGACTTTCTTCGGTACACGTGGTTTAATTTCACGCAGTCAGCCCGTTAAGTTCAGAGAGAAGAAATTTACGCGATACGAGGAAAATCATGCGATAGGGATAACAACGACAAAGAGGTCTTTTCATGACGTTTTTCACTTTTTTCCGATACGATCGCGAACAAATAACATATTTATCATAAACGAGTTGTCGCTTCGAAACTATAGGAAGTAAATTTCTTTCGTAATTCTGCTGCCTGGCAAATTTACATACCCGTGTAAACGATTGCTTCGCCAATCATACGTGTTTTCTTATTATGCAGTTTTATCGCAAAATAAGTTTCAAATTTAATTTATACATTCCAGAATTCTTCCACGTAATACCATTTCTCCTTTATTAACGTATCAGCGAACTGAGCTAATGAAAATACACTCGAATATTTTCTAACGTTTTCAAATTTCGATACTTGCCCATCGACTTTTTTAGACGATTTTCAAATAATATATATTCATTATTGTATAAGCAAATAACAAATATTGCCTTGGTCATTAGTTACTCATTAAATTGTTATTCTATTTGATTTTACATGTTTCATATTTCTCACTAATTTGTTATCATGTTTCTTCTTATATGTCTTACTCATGCTGTTGTTATAAGTTCAAATACTTCTAAGCGGTAGCGAACACGCGATAATGATATCTTTCGAATAGTTTTAACACGAGATTCCCGTATAGAAGTCGTCTGGCTGGGTTTCAATGGACAGTCCCGACCCTTCCATTTCCTGCAGTCGTCGAATGTGATCAGGGTGGCGTACGTGCCCGAAAAGACGTCATCCACAAGTTCTTCCCAGGAACGGAAGGCACGCGGTGACGTCAATCGCGTCGAATCATTAAATCTCTTATCCTCGTTTCCTATGTCCAAATGCGCATCTATCGCGTGAAAATCAAATACACCAACAACGCTTGTTCATACGCGTGTGTTGCAACGATCGAACCTCGCGGTACTGTTGTTCGGTCGTTGACCGGAAATTTATGTAACTCGAGCAATTATCACCAGGTAGGCACGAAATGGTCTGTAAACTTTTTCAGCAATTCCTTTCCAGGTAGAAGAAGATTCTTTTAATTCTCTTAGGTCCCACTAATTCCCATGGATACATACGCAGTTCGCCTTCCGTTCATTAAAAAGAATATAATACTTGATATCTATCTGAGTATAAATTTTTATAACTCCGGAAGGTTGTTTTATACCAAGAAGAAGATAGCATATATATATATCAATAGCTTCTCGTTGCAGAATATAATTAGAGATGGATAACGCAACCATCTGGAATACCATCAGCTAATGAATTATTCGAGATAACGTTCAGGAACGTATTTTGTGTTTCAGGAGAAGTGTCGTGGTCAACGACAGAGGAGCCTTTTACTCCCGAAGAAGAGGACGCGATAGTAACA